AAACACACTGGTTCTATTTAGAACATAAATACAAATTGTTCTGGAAATAGAAAAGGAGTATATCACACCTGGAAGGTCATCCACATTCTACTTTACAGTTCTCGCATAAACGGTAGCGCATGAGCGAGTGAGATGATTAATTAATTACAATTATCAGAGCACTGGTAATTCACTAGCGAGGATAACATCAAGAGTGCTTAATTGCCCCACCAAGCCTTGATGTGCTTAAATTGTTCTGTTAATTTTTCTTCCCTGACTGTCCAAGGCTATTAAGTGCAGTGGGATGGCTCAATATGGAGGGCATGCTTAAAATATTGGGAGGAAAATGGGAGTAAGAAAAAAAAGGCACAAACTGTAATTGCTGGGTATCACTCTCTGGATGTGGACACAGTTGGGAGCTGGGGACGTCACATTTAAAAAAAACAAAAAAAAAACAACTTTGCCGTCCTACAAAATCCATTCAAGCCAATGACCATTCTTAGTATAATGACAGCATAAGCTCAGGTCTGTTGAGCCGGTGTGTTTGTAGCATCTAATTATATTGAAATAGCTAGGTGATATTACATGTCTTTAACAACGGCATTCACTGAAGTTGTAATTTAAACATTTTGTACTATAATAGTGTTAAGTGACCATTAGCCATCACGGCACATGCTGGTATAATGTCACTGTTTAATTTCTCTGGCTAATTATCAGCCCTAGGCAATTGCAGTAGCATTAACGTAACTGCTATTAAACACTATTAAATGGGCTGACATAAAATATAGTACAAAGGTTTAGTGTGATCTTTGTTGAAGATTGAACAGGTAGTAATCGTTAAATTATAACAATAGTGCTGTAACAAAGGGCCTATGGTTTAATGTTTGTTGTAAGAAGACTGTAAACAAATCAAAGCAGCCAAATGCAGCAATACCACTGGGCATATTTTTATTCGAGGAAATTGCTCAGTCAGTAGAATATTTCCAGCAGTAATATGAGCATGAGAAAAGTGGACCATAAAACATTCCTTCATATCAGCCTATATTTTGCCCTGGACAGCTTGGGCTGTATTGTCTTTCACGTAATCTTACTGAAGATTATTCCCCATGCTGTATATCAAAGTGGCAGTTTTGCTCAAATCATCCAGGCTTTATGCATTAGCCATGTTAGACATATTTTTCCAGTGCCACAGAAGAGAATTTCCTAACCTGCAGGCCAGAAAAACAGAGCCTTTAATACAAACTGACACCAAAGCAAAGACTTGGTTTTCATATGGACTCAACCTCTGCCGATGCTGTTACAAAGAAACAAACCCATCATGTTGTTTCTGTGTGAGAACATGTCAAGTCTCTATAAATGTCGATCACCTCTAAACGACAGCGAATAGCCATCGAGATCCAACAGTCATTTCATGATAGTGTTCCAGAGTACAGGGATGCTGTACTTTGTGCTTGGCGGAGGAAAACAAATGAAAGAGCTGAAGTCAGAGAGAGGGATTCTCCCTTGCTTGTATGCTCCATACACTGCTGTGGGCGCAAGGGATGAGGAAAGAGGTTAACACATGCATGCACTGCCATGGCCTTTTGGGGTCTCCTGATGGGGGGAACCCTCATCTGTGTCTTGAGAAGTTATTTTCATCCCTCAATAAACAGGCCATCTATTGTCACATGGAGGGCTCTCATTATTATTTTTAAAGTAATTACACCTTATTATCTGTGTTTACTTTGGCGAGGGCGAGTGCAGGTGTGGACAGGGAGCCGTGGGTGGTGGTGACAGGCCGCTGGTGAGCAGTTGCCCCCGTGAGTCTCTCTCTCTTTTTTTTTTACTCGAGGTTTGGGCATTGTAGCTGCGCTCTGCCACTAATTTCAGCCCCACAAAAGAAAATGTGCAATTAGGCCTATTATTGCAGCAGCTGCGTGCTCCCTGCTCGACAGCCCCCTGTCTTTTCTTGGCTCGCGGAGGGAAAGCTCTCGGAGGTCGTGTGCAACCCAGTACCTCAGCGTTCACTTGTGGCCGAAAGAAATGCCACAAAGTAAATAAATAAAATAATAAATAAATAAGTATAAAATGTGAAAAAATGAACTTTGAAAAGTAGAATGAATCATCAGGATGTAAAAATAAACTTGAATTCAGGGGTTTAAGTGATGACTAAGAAAATTAGCAAACAGACTCCTTAAACAAGGTCAAGGGAGAAACCTCTGTTTAATAATATCGAGTCCTTTTTTCACTTACATCTCTCAAAAAATGGGGACAGTGATGTTATAAACGTAGAAATGTGAAACAGTTATGTAAACAATGAAAATTTCACTATTGACCTTTTGATTTGCAGACTGACCCGTCAGCAGAATTTCTAAAGATCTGTGTACACAAGCAGTTGTGAAAAGGACAAAAGAAGCAATATATTGGAGAATACCACACAGTTTGAAGAGTAATGCTCTCATGCACTATGACATTGGATTTTGGGGAAGCCACAAAAGACCACCTTCATTCAAACACAAGTCCAATCTTACGCCTTTGGCACAAACAAAATGGCCTTAGATTCTCCACTGTTGCTCTCACTTAGTGATTTTCACACCTCGCCGACTTTCCAACAATTAATATAATGATCCAGCGCAGAGCACTTATTTTCAAGGGTATAGGTGGATTTGCATGTTATGACTGCGTCTGGCTGTGCATGTGCTTATGCCTCTGCTCCTCGATAATCCCTTGTTAAATTATAGGAAAAAGTGCAGGTGTTATTGATTTAATATCAGTTCATTTAATTCAAACCCTTTGGATTTCAATTGAACTATCCCATTAAGCATATTTGTGGAAGAAAAACTCATGTTTAAGGTATTATATATTTCAAGGGTAATAACAAAAAAACTTATGTAGTCAATTTGACATTTCTTAATTTAAAAAGAAATACATTTATTTACAAACAACAGTTTGTAAAAAAAATTTTAAATAATAATAAAAAAATTCCAAAACAATCGAGGTAAAAACCACAAAGCCTCATTCCACACGTGCTTACATGTACTATTCAGAATTTCAATGGAAAAAACGGTTCAACAAAGGAAGATAAAACAGAAAGAGGGGAGGCAGCAGTAGAATGAGGTGGGTGGAAGCTCTCCTGCTGTAGTAGATGCCTTACTGGCATCGATTTCAGCTCATTATGGCCCTGGGACTGAGAACCACAAATCCAGAGAAATCATTTTGCTGGAGGAGTGCGGCTGGGCAAATTGGCCTCCGGTTCTGTGTGGGAGCCCCCGCTGAGCGGAGCGGAAGAGCAGGGCCCGGCCGGGAGTGGGCAGGCCCAGGCAGGAGCGGCTGGGGCCACATGCTGCGGCCACCTCCCTGCCTCCGACAAACACTGCACTGGATAATCTCCCTGCAGAGACTGTGCCAAACCCCATGCGCTCAGAGGGAAGTGCCAGTGCACAACAGAGGAGCTGCTCCTGAGCGCTCTCTCTCTCTCTCTCTCCCCCTCTGACTCAACGTGGGTTTGAATCTCTGAATATCTCAAACACACAACACAGATTTTCATCTGTACAGACAACACCCAAACCTATTTTCAAACTGTTTTCACGAGCAGCATCATTAGTCCAACTTAGCTGTAGTCAATTTGATTTGTTACAAAAAGTTTTTGTTTAGATCACTGGCAGGGGACACATACACTTACATAAAGAGGACATAGGCCAGCCTGACTTCTAAACTAAAGGACGTTGGTTACAAATCTAAAAACTTAAGATAGATGTGGTGTTTGCTTATAATTTACATCATATTGGTTATATCTGCATATTGTACATGGACAGCAAATTTCATAGTTGGCAACAGATTTGCAGTGGGAATATGGGCATTATAATGTGCTTACCAACAAGTGTTTTTTTTTTATTTCAATGACACTTTGACCCTGTGTTCTTTGTCTGTCTGGCCAATTGATAATTGAGCATTCACATTTACTTCTTAACGGGGTAAAACAGGCATCCTGCTGCACCTGCCTGTATTCCATTCTCCTAGTTTGCATTTTTAATCCTGAAAGTTATCTCCAGTTTGAGGTTAGCCATTGCAAATACATGTCCTGTCTCTACTATGTTTACAGATTAAACTCATAATAGACATTATATTGTTTGGTTAACCTTTTAATTACAAAATATAACCTGACTAAAGATGGCACAAATACACCTTTTCCAAGACAAATCCAATATTGGTTTTCTTTTACAAACTACTTCATTTTAACATAAGCTATTTTTTAATAAGGCATTTACTTAAAATGGCCATCTAAACACAGTTTGTGTGTGTGTGTCAAAGACCTCACTCTACTACCCTACATCAAAGAATAACCAACAAGGTTTCTCCAAAACCACAGATATTGTTATTCAACTAAACTTCAAAAAAAGCATAAAAACATACCATTTACAATAAAGAAGCTGTACTTCTAGTTTAATACTTGGCTAATTACTCGTTATTCTTATGCTAATGTTTGGCTAATTGTGACTTGTTATCATGCGTATATATATATACACACATAAAATTCAGCATTGCTAGTATTGGTAGAGATTGGTAGGAGCTTGGTAATATTGACAAATGCTATTTGCCATATTCAGAAATTTTGTTTTCCTGGTCCAACACATCTGATTTATGATGTCATTATATTTACCCCAAAAATACACACAATGAACAAAGCATGGGATTCCCAGGATTAGACCTGAAAACCACTGCCATGAATCATTCTGATTAACATTAAGTGAACCTAACTTTAAGGACGTAACTATGGACTTTAACTTAACTTTTACTTTAACTTATGGAATTTATCTACTTGTAATAAATCACACTAAATGCAATTTTTAAGATGAAGATAAATTTTGCCATTTGTCAGCCTGACAGTTTTGAGTTTTGCCTGAAATTAGGCTCGAAAAAATTTGTTATGAAGCTGTAACATTAAAAATCCTTTTAAGCTTGCTAGTGGCTCTAAATGACATGCAGATCTTTGTTTTTTAAAAACATCTTCAACATATATTTTTTTTTAATCAAACAAAAACTTGACAGGTAGAGAATTGCTTTATTATCACAACTAACACAATACAAATGGTTTGTGGAGAACACAAGAAAGGACAAAACAAAACAACACGTAACACCCGCACACACTCTCGCTCTCTCACACATGCACACATGCAACTATTTCCATTCCATTCCTGGCAAATGTCAGAATTCCTGGCGTCTTGCTGAAGAAATAAGCAAATTCACATTTGTAAACGGGCAGTCGGATCTGACAGCATTCAAATGTGATAAAACAAACAATCCTCAGCTCAGGATGTTCAGTGTTACGAAGTCTCCATCTTGTATCCATGTTTTTCAAGCTCAGCTCTGCAAGAAAAACACAGAACAAAAAAACAAAAGTTAACAGAATATTTATAAAAATATACCAAGGTTTAATATGCTTTTCAAATTTTAAAGCTACAAAAAGAAACCTATTTAAGCATCTAAGCATCTTCATTATGTAGGACTGTTCTTACATTTACTTTTTAACCTTAAATAATGGGATAAACCGTCTGGTTTCTGGTTGGTCTATGCAAACAAAATGTAAGCAACCTGAAAAGCCATTTCAGTGGGAAAGTGTGTAGTGCACATAAAAAAACACCTGAAATACTAGACTGATTTGGCATTATTTTTAGCAGAATAACTGTGGTTCATGGGCACCTTGAGTGCCAGTTAATCACTTTATATATTTTCCTTTTCCTAGACACCTCAAACAAGCAGTGGCAAAACAGAAAAACAGTTACAGATCTGTCAAATATAATCAGACATTAATGTCACACCAATGTTTAAGATATAATAACAAAACACTCCACTTTCTTCTTCAAATGTCTATGCCTCATAGGGGTGGTTGGTGCATTGAGCACTTCTGAAAGGCTAACTTAAATGCACTCCAAAATCCTGACTATCCTACAACAAAACCTGCTTTAGGAATCAGCAAGATTTTTTACCCCACCAGTCGCAGCTTCTGATGAGGATTATTTAGACTACTAAAAGTAGTCTATAATCACAATAAAAATGCCCAAACTTTATAAACTGTAAACAGAGCCATGTAGAAATGTCTTTTATAGGCATTATAACAACCTCACTCAGTTACAATATCCAGAAGTCCAGCCTGTGTAAACTGACATGTTTAAGGATGTCTACACATTTCTAATTGTTTTATAAAATGAGAAATGTGCTTTTACAAACATTATTTTACTTTGTCCCAGTGATCCTAGAAACTGAATAAATATGTGCAGTCATGCACACAACTTCTTTGGTTAGAACTTAATTTTGTTTGATGAAATCTGATGAAGCATCAGGCTAAAGGAAGCTAAATACTTGATGTTAAAAAAGATGACTGCTAATTCTCTCGCTCTAATAAAAACCGGATCCCCAAATCATGGCTGGGCAAAGCAAATGAACCCAAAGGATGGATTTACTAGTAAAGCAGCTACCTCAGTTGATTGGAAAAGTCATCCTCTACGTTGTCATCATCCCAGTTATCTTCCCACACATGGGCATCTTCATCTTCATCCAGTCCTGTCCAATCTGAGAACCACACAAAACAAATATCTTACTTGCAAACTGTTACACTTTCTCTAACAGGTCTCAGAAAAAAAAATAATTTGATGTCAAATTAAAATGAACTGGAAGACGTCCAAGGTTCTCCGGAAGTTAGTTAATGTCTTGTCAATACTCACTATTGTACATTTTAGTCTCCTTTGTTGTAGTAAGTAACTAACTACGTACACATTCATAACCTCAAACAAGTACTTTTAAAGCGTTCAACAGCGTTTATTCTACAGCACTTGCTGACAAACCTCACGAGAATTTGGCGTTTCTAAGTTCAGACCTAAGATAACGACACCGTTTTTAGTATGAGACATGGGAAACCATAATGGATGGCACTTTCTCACTCGACTCAGAATCGCTTGTCAAAGAAGCGGAGTCATGAGCGGTCACTGCAAATTACGTTAGCTAGCTTAGCTAGTAACATACAGGCGAGAACAAATCAAGTTTTCATCATTAGTACGAAGAAACGAAAGTAATCGTTATATAGGCTTGACGTAAAGCTGGTAATAACCTAACCAAACTCAGCTGGTTTTCAATACAATCTCTGCTTCTTTGCTCGCTCTGCATCACAGAGAAGTTAGCTAGCTAGTTAGCTAACTCAGTTCTGTGATGTATTAGCTAGCTTAGCGTCTTTTTTAGCTTCTAAGTAAGCGAACTGTAGCTAACATTACTACCTTAGCCTATAGGCTGCATAAACTGAAAGCTGAAATTCAGACCATTGTGAAATCTACTTACAAAAACACTAACAGTACCATTGCTTTAGAAACTGTCTGAAAGTAGAGTTCTGAATTTAAGAACTTAGGTTAGCTAGCATATCAGCGCTAGCTAGGTAAACACAATACGGTGGCTGTTAGCTCCGGTAACGTTAGCTGAGTCACTGTGCGATCACACTGGAAAACTAGCGGGTCACAACACTAAAACGTTTACGAAGATCACTTACCTTCGGCTGGAAATTCCTCAAATTCATCATCCTCCTCTAACAAGCCCAAATCCACGGTCTGCTTCTTTTCCGACATGACGGATAGCTCGTTTCTTAGCTCTCAACTCTGAGCTTCTTCAGCAGGTTTCAGAGAGAATCATGGGATGGCTCTTGTTGTGCGCATGCTCAGAAGGAGCAGCCTGAGAACTAGACACAGCAACATGGACAGAATAAAACAGTACGGAGAGGAGTAACTGAAAGCATATTAGAGGTATATATGTGTATAAATATAATACATAATATATATATATATATATATATATATATATATATATATATATATATATATATATATAAACTTCCAAATATATGTGATTGTACTTCATATTACATATTCATGGTAATACATCATACATTTTTTAACAGTTCGTTCATTCATTTTTAACAGTTTATATTTATTAAATTAAATTATTATATATCATATATTATACATTACATTATTTTTGTAATACTATATTAGTATTAGTATAGTATTAGTATTTATTATTATGTATTACATTTGATGTTTTGTAGTTATTTAACTGAACTGAGCTTTTCCGTTTCATTTCCATCCTTTTCAGAATGTTTACATTTCCTGAAATAAAAGAAAGTAGTTGTTCTGTAATTAATGACGTTCTTACAAGATGCGCATGCGCCAAGTCTGTTGAGCAAGCCAATAAGACCTCATGGTTATTTTCCACACGTGTGGAAATACAAGCACGTCTGCTTCAGTTAAATTTGTCGGCCCTCTTTTCCTAGCCTACTACAACTTAATTGAGTACAGAGCTTGTTTCCAACCTGTGTAAATTTCCTACAGATGATTTCAGAATTATATAATAATAATAACATTTCAGAATTACATGAAAATAATATCACTTTGAATCAGTTTTTTTAGATGCGTGTGCTTAGTTGTATTTAGTACATGCCTGTTACTCAGGAACCTTTAGCAAGCTTGGAGCATAGCTGGCACTTAGCTTACTCTCTTGTAAATATTTGGTAGTAGTTTTCAGCAAAGCTGATCTCACACATGACTGATCTCGCCCAAGACGTATTTGGGAATGTATAAACCATACTAAAGCCATTGAGCAAAGCAGAACATGTATAGGGGAAAATGAGTCTTTTTGAGCCCTTCTGGTGGTAAAATTCTGCAAAAAACTATTTACACGAATAAAAAAACACCTCAATGAGGGTGCATATTTTTCAATAAATTACAAATTACATTGTGATCCATGTGGTGTGTTCAAGTAATGAACTGACAGCCACTGGTGGGCAGGCCTATGTACTGCAGTCTAGATAAATGACAGCACATACACCACAAAACCACATGCACCACAATGAAAATTGCCCTGTGGCTCCCATTTGCTGACAGACGGTGAAAACCTCAACTATGATCCTACGCACTTATTCTATTTTCAAATTATTTTGTAATCATCTTAAGTACTTACACGAAAAGATTCTGAGAGACTATGCACAAAAGAGACAACATTGAGGCCTTGGCTTAAACAGATGGATGTGGCTTACAGTGACCAATATGAAAGAGTTTGTTTACACAAGGATATGCATATATGTTTAAATAGGACATACATTGGATACATGGATATAAAGAGGCTTTATGTCCTTTTGTGTAAGCAAAGCCAAATTATTAATCAGATTAATTGCCTACAGTTGACAAGAGTTGAAGAATCCTTGCATGTTTTCTTAGGTATGGGCTTGGGAATCTCACCGAATGTCTGCAGAGCATACCTGAGACTGCAGTTACACCGTGGCGCCTGGTGTCTCCAGGGGTGGGGAGGGGGGCAGACAGCGGGGCTGCCCAGACAGACTCCCAGCCTTTCTTCACATGTGAGAATGCCTTTCATTGGCTCCTCCAGGACAGTATCGCACTGAGTCCTCACAGAGGCTCCGGCCTAGGCCGGCCTGGCCAGTCTGGCAGTCTCGCTTCCACCGACCTTTATCATTACAGAGATCACAATTTGGCCTGAGGGGTGCTAGGACGAGCGAGCGGGGTTTGGTTTGTGGGGGCCGGAGGGAAGGTAGGTGAGCAGAGCCATCATCACTCCCAGCTCCCATCTGGCTGATCCCTGCCTCAGATTAGTGACATGGCTCCTTCTCTGCCAGAGGAAAGTGACAACACACCAGAACATGGGCCTGTCTACCTGTCCAAAAGCCCTTGATCAGATAATCACTCCTCTCATTCAGCCTATATAGGAGAACGACAATCGAGCCAACTCTGGAAAGACGGCTTTTTGTTCCACAATGTCTTCATATCATGGCTGTGGAGGTATTAGCTGAGATTTTGCTACATTATTATTATAAAATATATAATTGTAGCGTATTAAGATCAAGCTTTTATAATTGCACAGCGACAGATGAACTCTATAAGCTTCTCTGTCCACATCCTGAGTCTTACTATTCACTACGTGGACAACAATACAAAATGATTGAGTTATTGTAAGTTGCAGGAATATTAAAGGCTGGACCTGTCAGTGAGTCTGTGAATATTAAGGGACTAATGTCATGATCAGAAATTGCTGATATCACATCACAGTCACTGCATGACTAGCTCGAAATTTACTGATAAACACCAGAGTGACGTATTTTACTTTCTGCAATTGCATAGTTGTTTAAACGCTTCTGTTGCTTTTTGTCACTCAAGCTTCTTGACTTTTGCAGGAATTCCTGATTGAATTAAAACATAAACATAAAACACTGGTTGGGCCCATCTGTCCAATTAATATGATTCATTTCAGAGAAACCTATCAGCTTTAGTCCTCAAAAATGGATACTGAGGCCTTTCCTGTATATGCTATGTATATATCAAGTTTCTGTATTAAATTTAATCCCACCTAGCCACTAAGTCTAGGGCCACCGTGTCTTATGTGATGGCCTTTTCCGTAGGTAATGAGGGTACAGATATTTGCTTTTAGAAAAGGCACGTTGTTGATCAAATGAGGTAAGAACACAATCAAAGCCACATGAACATATGGAAAAAATACATGCAACAAAGTTTCCTAATTTTTCCTCCCTCCAGCCCCTGCCTACAACCAACTAATTCAACTGTCTGTCATGAGGAATTTTAGTTTCATATTTTTCATCTGTCTGTCTTGAAAAGCCCTGTCATCTGGGGCTTGAGGTACAGTTTCCCAACAAGCTAATGGCCCTTCATAGCCATACAATCTAATGTCTGTCCTGGCTGGCCCCAGTAATCCTGTTCACCTCCGCGGCTTAGTTATGCTCAGGCTTAAGTTGCATTTTTTGTTTTTATCAAGATTTTGCTGATAAATGCTATCAGCGAGAGAGAAATGAAATATGGGGGGTCTATCTCAAGTTGCAGAAGCAGAGCATTATTTAGCAAGACGGTGGTTCTGTGACTGATGCGAACACCCAGCTGTTATTCAGTTATCCTCCATGCCATCCTGTTATTTAGCTTTGAAAACAATGATCGAGATGGCTTTTTGTTTTCACTTTGTGCGTTGTAATATTACGCCCAGCGTCATGAAACCCGTGGACATGTCCTTGTTAACTGGGAGTTTCTACTGTCTCAGTGTCTATCAGTAAGAGTTCCATATCCTTGGAATTATGGAGAGGCTTTTTTTCTATAACTTGCCAGAAATAAGTATATCCAGCCAGTAATAACACACCCATAACAAATAGCACAAAAGTCATTGGAGATAAGGTTAAAGTAACTAAACTGTTGGACCATATAAATACAACATTGTTTATAGTACATCAGTCACTGTTGCATAAACACCTCTCAGCTATGTTCTGTATGTAATTGTTCATTTTACCTTTGATTTATGTGAAACATTCATACCAAAGTAATTCACAACAGAATTAATGGTTTTTAAAGCACAGCATACAAACCTTAGAACATAAGGCCTTGACTTGCTTGGAAAATGGTATATTTTAACTTTTGACTGTTGCATTTGTTTTGTGATAAAATAATTATGTTTAGCATAACCATTTTTAACAGCTGTCATAGACAATAGTGCAAGCTGTGTACTTACATTTGCATTTGAGGTGTTTCATGATAATGATTTTAATGTTAATTTGCAGTATGATTGTAATGCAAAAGTCAGAATCACATGACAACAAAATTAGTTCATTAATCCTGCAGTACATTATTGCCATATTATGGCAAGACCTTACATTCAATAGAGGTGTAGTATGATGCTTTGCTATTACATGAATGACAAACAAATCAAGCAATCTTCAATGACTGAATATTAAACATTTTGTAGTGCTTCTCTCAGCTCACCACAATGACGCATTGTAAGACTTACACTGCAGGCCATTGAGTCAACCTCTTTATGGTCACTCTGTCTCTCTCTCTCTCTCCCACTCTCTCTCGCTCACTCTATGTTGGAATGACAATCTCAAGTGAATGTCCCTCATCAAGGGGCTTAGAGAGTAAGTGATAAAGTGTTCCACTCTAATACCTACCCGCTCCTCATCTGTCATCTATAAAGGGGATTGGAAATGAAACAACATTCTTCAGGATATAATGATCTCTACAGCACACAGAGGCATATTGTAGGAGATATAAAAGGAGGGGAAAATGACTATTGTGCTTGATCACATAAAACTCTGCGCTGCGAGTCTGCTTGTTATTATAGCATAAATTAAACCTTTGTATTTAGTTTTTGGTGCTCTTTATAGGAAGTCATGTCTACTCTGATCACTCGTTTAATGTGTTGGTATCTCATATGTTTGAGCACCACTGTTTCAGGTGTCTATAACTATGCAAAACTTAAATTTAGGAATACGCACCATGTGGCCGTAGGTCCGGAAATGCCTGTGATTGGGGAGATTGATAAATGAAGCTGTCCTCGTTTGGGCTTAGCTGCTTTGAGGCCCCTTCAGCTCTGGACTTTGTCCAGGAAAACCTCTAACAGCCACTTATTAAGTAGTTAGACCAACAAGGCTAGAGCACAACATAGGCAGTGGTCACCTGGGTATGTGTCTGCCGGACCAGAGAGGCCTGATTGGTCGCTTTGTGGATGCTGGGTTCATGGTATGAGAATCCACTGCTGGACACAATGCCCTCTCTTCTCCCCTGAGGTCTGAAGTGCCATGTTTGTACAGCTTGGTGGGTTGTTGAGAGATGTAATTATTAGTATTTTATGAAAACATACCCCAGTGCCACCAAGTGTCTTTGTC